CACCCTCCGCTCCAGGGCTCTCCTGCCAGTCCCGCCCCGCACCCCAATACGCCTCAGCGCCGGAGATCCATTCTGGAGGTGAGGCTGGCGGGAAGGGCCTGCCCTGTGAAACCCTGCCAGGAGCGATGCGCCTTCTTCGGAAAGCGGGTGGCTTCCTGCAGCGGGGTGCATTTGACTTCCGGAAGGATCTCCCTGGCCTGACCCGGCTTCTGGCGTCTTTACACTGTATCTTTGCAATGTTTCCCATCCTTGTGGCCAATGTTCCCTCTAAGCTGTGGAGTCTTGTGAGCAAAAATTCTACTTTGTGAGCTACTGGCATTAAAGTTGTGAGCGAGCAATTTGCCTGTTGCATAAATTAGCTTGCTCTGGAGCCATATTTCCTGAGCTAAGACAAAAATGTGTGAGCCAGAGGCTAAAAAACTGTGAGCTAGCTCACACTAACTCAGCTTAGAGGGAACAGTGCTTGTGGCTCTTCTGCTGTTTTCTCCCTGGGAGCCTTCTTGGGATGTTGCACCTTGAAACAAGAGCCAGTTTGCTGTAGTGGTTAAGAGCAGCGGGACACTAATCGGGAGAGCCGGGTTTGATTCCCCAATCCTCCACATGTAGCCCGCTGGGTGAACTCGGGTCAGTCACAGCTCTCTCAGAGCTCTCTCAGCCCCACCTACTTCACAGGATGTCTGTTGTGGGGAGAGGAAGGGAAAGTGATCGTTGTAAGCCTCTCTGAGACGCCGAGTGAAGGGCGGGGTATAAATCCAATTCTTCTTCTTCTTCTAGGGTATTAATCCAATTCTTCTCCTCTTCCTCCTCCTCCTCCTCTACCATCGCCATCACCACCACAACCACCAGGGTTGCCAGCCTCCAGGCGGGGCCTGGGGATCTCCCGCTTTGACAACTGATCCCCAGCTGAAAATGGCTGCTTTGAATGGAGGACTTTATGGCATCTTACCATGCTGAGGCCCCTCCCCTCCCCAAACCCCACCCTCTCCTGGCTCCACCCCCAAAGTCTCCACGTATTTTCCAAACCAGACCTGGCAACCCTAACCACCACTACCGGCAGCAGCTTGGGAAAAGGGAGGCGCTCACTCCTGGCTTTCCACAGGCACCGTGCCTCCTGCCTGAGATGTGGAAAAGATGTCTAACAGGGGTCCCCAAGCTTTTTGAGCCTGTGGGCCCTTTTGGAATTCTGGTACAGGGTGGTGAGCACAGCCACAAAATGGCTGCCGAAGGAGGTGGAGCCAATTTCAAAATGGCTGCCACTGGAGGCAGGGCTAACCACAAAATGTCAGGGAGCGAGGTTATACATCTCTGATAGCAACCATCTGACATTTCAGGCAGAAGCCCCCCTTTAACAGGATGCCTTTTAATCTGCACAGCCAGTCAGAATCCCTGCTAGACAAACGTCCCAGCTAGTCCCTCCCACTTCCTGAAAGCACTGGGTGAGCACACTACCTTGGGGACCCCTGATGTAGAAAGTTGCATCGCTTGGTCTTCTGGTGCCGCCTGCTGGTTATTTAAATGTTTTTACCCCTTCGGACAACTGAATCAGACCTGTTGGCCCACTAATCCAGTACTGCCTTGTTCTCAGGAGTGGCCTTAACCAGTGGGCAAAGCCGAATTTTTGCTCACAGGACTCCACGGCTTAGAGGGAGCAGTGGATCTGGCTCCTGCATAAATTAGTTGGCTTTGTCTGGAGCCATCCTTCCTGAGCTAAGACAAAAGATGTGTGAGCTGGAGGCTAAAAAACCATGAGCTAGCTCACACTAACTCAGCTTAGAGGGAACACTCATCATTACGGTACTGGAGTGATTTAAGTATTATACTTTTTTTTTAATAAAAGCTTTGTGGTAGGGGGTAGATCCTGCACAGTGAGGCAAGGAAAATGGTGCCATCACACACGTGGAAAAGGTACTTTCAGGGGTCATTTTGTAGAAAAAGAGGCGCAGGAGCTCATTAGCATAACTTATTTGCATATGCCACACCCCCTGAAACCCACCGCTCAGGCTCCACTGGACTGTTTTGGATTGCTAGCTATTGGGGGGGGCGTGCAGATCTGTCCTCGCAGAGGAGGGAGAGCTTGTACCTGAATAAAACCTGGTCTTAAAGGTGCCACAAGACTGTTTTGGACCGGGGGGCCGGGGGGGGGGCTCTGCAACTTACCTGGCTGCTTCTTGCTCTGACTGAGGGCTGCTGGAAGCAAGGGGTGGGGCTTGTTGCATGTGCCCACCTCCTGGACTCTTTACTGCCGGAGCTCCGCTCCTGTGTGCTCCTGCAGGAAATGACCCCTGGGTACTTTGATCACTGCCCATGTGCCTGTGTGTAGGTGGGTTGGCTGCCTGTCTTTGACTTGCGACGCATCTGACCAGCCTTTTCTCCCCTCTCCTGCAGAAACAGGCTTCTGTGGTGGCAGAGAACAGTGTGATCTGCAGCTTCTTGCACTACATGGAGAAAGGAGGGAAAGCCTGGCACAAGGGCTGGTTTGTCATCCCCGAAAACGAGCCCCTCGTGCTCTACATCTATGGAGCCCCACAGGTATGGCTGTACCCCACCCCCTGCCTCCCTTCTTTTGCCCCACATCTTTTGCCCCACATCTTAACGTAGAGGACAGGCAGTTTGACTTCATATATGGTAGAGGTATATGAAACAAAGAGCAGAGCTCAGTGAGGGGGAAATGGGAGAAACTCGATTCTCTCCTTCCAAACGGGACTTGGGGCGGCAAGTGAGTAAAACAGGTAAGCAGCAGGTTTAAGACGAGCGGAATGATGAATTCGTGATCCGGGCCGGTGGAACTCATTGCCACCAGGTGCTGTGGTGTCAGTGGCAGCTAACCATTTAAATAAGCGTTAGGTAAGTGCGATGCTGTTGGTGGTTACTAGACACGGAACTCCTTTGCATATTAGGCGACACCCCCCCTAATGTGGCCAATCCTCCAAGAGCTTACAGAGCTCTTCTTACAGGGGCTACTGTGAGCTCTTGGAGGATTGGCTACATTAGGGGCGTGTCGCCTAATATGCAAAGGAGTTCCTGCTACAAAAAGAGCCCTGCGACCGTGAAAGAGCATTCCATCTGCTGCACACCGCTTGTCTGCAGTGTGTATAAGTAAAACGTACACTGTGCAGAGAGGGACACCTGTCGGTCACTGTGCTTTGTGTGACCCTAAAACAGTATAAGCGATCACACAGTAAAGGTGACTGTCTAAGAGAAAACTGTGTGGAAAGGACGCCGTAGTAGCAAAGGCTAAATGGTGAAATAGAAATTTATTTGTATTTAGCCATAAGCCATTACAAACCAAGGATGACGGTAAAATTTAAGACATAATAAAACCATACTATCAGAATAAAATTGAGTCAAAAGGTGTCTGCTAAGATCAATCTTAATCAGTTCCCAGATGAACAGCATTAGCCTGTATGTTCTTTGCAGCCAAGGCATATAAAGACATTCTATAGGACAGTGATGGCGAACCTTTTAGAGACCGAGTGCCCAAACTGCGACCCAAACCCCACTTATTTATCGCAAAGTGCCAACACGGCAATTTAACCTGAATACTGAGGTTTTACTTTAGAAAAAAACAACTCATACATTAACTTAAGATGATCCAAACAAAGTAAGGAAAGCAATCCCAAATGCTTTCATTTACTTAAAATTATTTGGCAGAGAATTCGACACTTTAATGATGGTCTGGGCCTGGCTGGGGCGATGGCACAGGTGCCCACAGAGAGGGCTCTGAGTGCCACCTCTGGCACCCGTGCCATAGGTCCCCCATCACTGCTATAGGATATGTCGGCGTTGAAATCAGCTAACAAGAATACAATCTCATAATCTGAGTAGAAACGTAAATCTGATAAAATCCCAGAGAAAAACTTTAACCTAGGTTGGGCGTACATTGAGCTAGGCTTAATGGTAGAAACCACAAAAGCTCAATTTACTAGAATTTTACAAAGATGGAAGAAATTACAATTCAACAGGTGAAGTCAAAGAACCGACAGGTAAGTATAATATATCAATACAACAGGTGAACTCCATATAAGCAATTCAAGGTAAGTTCAGTGGGTATATTCAGCAGTCCAATAAGTAGGTATAAGTTCAAAAAATTAATTCAACAGGTACATACATATTTGCTTGAGGACACGTTACCTCTGACGTAGATAGCCACACAGGTGCTTTTTGGACCAAAATTGGAAGATATTCTACTTCAGCAACTGTGCATTTGGCACCAGACACATGACTTTTCATCTTTAGAGGACTCACAAACACCTTTGTCTTGTGTCTATAGATCTTGCTGCGGTGGCTCAAGTGGTTAAGACGCTGAACTGCAGGCTGTGGAAGGTCAGTAGTTCAGCAGTTCGAGACCTGAGTGTGCTGCATGACAGAGTTAGCTCCCGTCTCTAGTTCCAACTCCTGCTTACCTGTTGATATATTATACCTTTTTGAGTTCACCTGTTGAATTGTAATTTCTTGCATTTTGGTGAAATTTTAATAAATCGAGCTTTTGTAGTTTCTACCACAGCATTCCGTGCACCTTAGTGTTTAGTCATGCCGGCCACATGACCACGGAAACGTCTTCGGACAGCGCTGGCTCTTCGGCTTTGAAACGGAGATGAGCACCGCAACCCTAGAGTCAGATTCGACTGGCTTTCGAGCAAGGGAAACCTTTACCTTTACCCTTTTATTCACTTATTGGTTATCTTATTGTAAGATGTATTATTGTTATGTGTACCTCAATACTGTTTGACCCCTGAAGAAGGCCCCCGATAGGGCAGAAACGCGTCAGGTCCTGTATATTGGCCCTTGTGTTCAGGCCACTTTTTTTTTTAATTTATATTTTATTAAATTTTTCCAATACTGTTACAACAGTGTTTGGCGATAAATAGTGATACGAAAACTATTTCAACACTAGATAACATTCAATGAGGGTACAGAAAAGAAGATCACAGATTTTCATTAGCCAGGTCAGAGAACTAAAATCAAGACGTTCAGTACAAACAGGAAATGATGCTAACTTTAAGGCTATTTTGGAAGGTTTTTAATACCGGCCCTTTATCAGACTCCTTTCTTTGATTCCAGCATTCAGTAATCCAACAGTAAGTATGGTGCAGTGATCCAACAGGTAAATATAATGGACAAAGTTTTGAATATCCAGACCCTTCGTCCGTTATACTTACCTGTCGGACTATTGCATCATACTTAGTAAAGGTAAAGGTTCCCTTGCCCAAAAGCCAGTCGAATCCGACTCTAGGGTTG